AGCCTCTGATCTCAGTTGGTATCTCTATGTACTACAGTAATGCAAATTATGATAATACTAGGCCAGCACTGCATATCAACCAGTTATGTGCTATTAATGGTGGTCAGTGTTCCCTCTGATTTTTTTTTCCATTCCATGTGCAGAATAATTTTTTTGTGTGCCAAGGCACGTGTGAATGTGCACCACTAATAGAAACAAAAAAATTAATTGTGGGCACCTGCTAATTAACTGGGCAGCGTTTGGCTCTCTCCTGAATTGCCGCACAAGTGTTCAGTTTATAGGGAACTCTAGTTGTGGTGGGGGTGGAAAAGAAGAGCAGAAAAAAACCCACTTCAATACTCCCACTTGCTGGGAATGTATGACAGATGATGGGTCACTGTCATTCTTCCAGGGTTCGAATTAGCAGTCTAGTGAAGCACTCCGGTCGATGCCGGTAACCCTGCTTTCACAACAAGTAAGGGAAGTCGAAGGAAGAATGTTCTTCCTTTGACTTCCTACAGTGTAGACATCACCAAAAGCTGAGTTAAGCTACTTTGACTTCAGCCACACAATTAACATAGCTGAAGTTGCATATCTTAGTTCGACTTTGTCCTATAGTGTAGACGTACCCTCAATGATTGCCTGGTCTGTTAGGGCATATCTACACTGGCATATTTCAAAATAACAAGGTGAGCATCCACACGATCAAGTCTGTTATTTTGAAATAATAATTCCTGCTTGTGAAGAGGAATAAGTGTGATTTGAAATAAGTTATTTCAAAATAACAATTCTCAAAATAACTATTTCAAAATAACCTGGTAGTGTAGACATTGCCTTAATTCCTTCTGAAGCGCCTGGCATTGGCCACTGTTGGAAGACAGGATACTGGGCTAAGATGGACAATTGGTGTGACCCAGTACAGCTGTTCTTAAGTAAATAAACACTTTAAGAATTTTTTAAAATAGTGTAAAATGATATAATTAACTTGACAGACATAGATTAAAAGGCATATATCTACCCCCCCAAACCCAAAAAACCCCTTCCCTTACCTGTTTTACAAACAGTGCCTTAGGCTATATCTACATTACAAGCTAGAGGTGTGATTCTCCTGCTTACAGACACTTATTTGTGAAGTTAGGATGAGTACAAATAGCAATGTAGCTGTGGAAGCATGGGTAGCAGCAGCAGAGACGTAGCTGAGCCATGCCCACTACATACTCTCTGCAGGTTTGTACTCAGCACAGCTCATGCTGGTTTCCGCCTGGCTACCGGTGCTGCCATGGCTACATTGCTATTTATACTCACACTAACGTGATGAGAGCTAGTCTGAGTGTGTGTACCCCAGCAGAGAACCACCCCCCGCCCCAGCTCATAATGCAGACATAGGGCTAGAGTGTTAAATTTGAAAACAAAATTACAAATCTTAGTATCAGCTATTTCTGGAGTATGTTCGCTTTCTGAATTGCTTGCAGGGAACACACTGAAAACACATTGTTTTCTAGTCAGTTTTATCTCTGGGTTCTCTTACATTAATGAAAAGCTACAATGCTTGA